ATGAACCCTTTGTGAAATCAGATTTAATGAAAGTACCAATTTTATATAATTAAAATACTTGTAAAAAATTTTGCTTTGACATGTTAGAATATTATATAGGAACTACTCATGTCAGGGGCAACCAATGCTCCTAATTCTCTCCTAATGTGGGCACTACTTTTGAAAATATTGGATTCATCAATTTTTCTAATTCGCCTTTCTCCCCATGTGGCTATGTTTCAGATTACCAATATCCCTGATCCCTTCCTGTCAACCTCAAAACCTTTCTTATGGTTTTCCCAGTCTGGGAAAGAAGCATTACATTTGGGCGACTACAATTCTTCACTGCGTTGAATGGTTTATTTTTGACTTTATGAGTCAGTAAAATAACCAAAATATGGGAACCAAGCGGAGTTAAGATAATGGGCAAAATGTCAATATTTTTCAAGTTCAGTAATACCCAATTTTTAAATTGTTTTAACACTTTTAAAATAATACACAAATGCATCATTCATATAGTTATCTAAGCAAAGCTGAAATGAAAATTAGATGTTGTGACGTCGTGAGTTAAGCTGCCAGTTGTGAGTCTTGGCTGATTTACTTGTATTTGTCCCTTCCTGCTAATGTGCCTAGAAAAACATTAGAAGATATTTTGAAGTGCTTGAATCCCTGATATGCATGTGGGAGACCCTGATGGATTTTTAAGCTTCTGGCTTCATACTGGCCAGCTCTGATTTCATGCCCACTTTGGGAGTGAACCAGTGGATGGAATATATCTCTGTGTCTCTTCTTCTCTGTGAGTCTGCCTTTGAAATTAACCTACTGATTACCCATCAATTAATCAATCAATCTGTATAATCACAAATGAAAGTAGAAGTATAATTGAAAGCAAATGTAGCAAGAACATCAAGGAAATGGCTTGGATTTCTAGAATTATGTCTATTGGAGGCCCAGGTCACTTACCTACTTAGCCTTATGAAATAAATGCCTCAAAGACTATAAAAGGAAGCAGTAATTTTGCTTTTCATACCTATAATTTTGAGGTGCTGATTTTATTTCTGCTTTTTCTTATTGCCATTCTTCTGGCCCTATAAATAAAACTATTGCCTACCCAATCACTAAATATTGCCAAAAAAAGCTTCACTTAAATAGCATAGCTACTTCTGAAACTGATAAAAAATTTTAATCTTTGCATTCATTTTGCTTACTCTATCAATCTCCAAACTACAGTCTTTAGTAGCATTTGGTTGCCAGGGAAGGATTACAGAATTTAAGATTATCTTATCATTTTCTCAAAGGAAAGATAAAAATTAGATCCAAGAAAATGCATGTGTGTGGGCATACTTTTTCTTAATATCTGAGATAAATTTATCTTGCATCCGTTAAACTGAGTTATGGCTATTTATTCCCATATTTTGCAACCAAATTTCTCTACAGGTCATTCAAGAAATTAGAGTCAGCATTTTCAAGAATTTTTTTTTTTAATTTTAAATAGAAAATTCCAAATGATAAATGTTAAGATTTGGAGTAAAAATCTGGCGACTGGGGTTATATCAACATGCATGTCACATCGTGGTGGAAGAAGTGTTGAGTTCAATAGTGGTTGAATGCTGAATTTAAAGGCAAACTGGAGTATTTATACTATCAAATAAGAATTATATGAGGACTAATTTTTACTTTTTTTAGATTTTCTGAATTTTTCTGTTTATGCATTCCTTTCTTGTGGTTTCAAAGGAATTTATTAATGCAGTTGATTAGTAGGGTCCCAGCAATTGCATGATAATTACTATAATGGGATTATCATCAACTGTCATGTAAATGTAGTATTAGTACAAAGAGAAGATATTCCGTAGAGTTCATGGTCACAATTCCAACATGTTGTGGACCAAGATTTGTGTCTGTTTTGTGCACTGATGTTCACTGTTTCCAAAGTCTCAAGCAATGCTTGGCACATAAAAATGCTGTGTAAACATTGTTAAATAAGGGCTTCACCTTCATGAAATCAATTCATCTAACAGTAATTACTAAGTAGAAATTAAATATCCTTCTAGTTTGGCACTATTTTATTTGATGATGATAATAAAGCTAGAGCACAGCAAATTTTCAATGGAATGAGAGTAGGGTACTTCTTAGAATCAGGTCACTTTCTAATTCTTTTTCTTATATAGAGGATATTACAACATACATGTAGGATTTTAAAATATGGTCGAAGTATTCTTCTGCCAGTTGTAATATTGTGTAATACATAAGGGTAAGATAAGAATAGAGTAATAGTTTCAGTTCCAATTGTCACTGTCCCATTTTTGTTTTTGCTTATGTTTGCATTGTATTTATAAAACCACTCACATAGACATTCATTTTTTTAGATGTCCTAGATTTACAGTGAATAAGACATACACATATGTGTGCACATTAACTCATAGTAAGTGGCAATGGAGTATTTTTAATTTCAGATTCATAACGGAGTGTAAGACCAATAACTCACAAGAGACTGAGTACTGAGCAGGTTTCTGTATCGGGTAGTCCCAAAGCTCATCACTGAGCAAATGATGCTAAAAATACTGTACCACAGACAATAGTCTTTTTGTGTTGTTTACCAGGATAGAATGTCTTCAGCATTAGCTTCACTCATTATTAAACCTGTAATGTTCTATAAATGGCACCAATGGATCAACACAAAGAGATGGAGTAATAATTGGTAACATTATGTGATCATAGTTTATAAAAGGAGATGCTTAAAGTTAGATTTCCTATTTGCTTCTATTTGAAACCTAGACAATCTCATTTATCCAGCACATGCATTTTATTCTATTACTGATGGCAAATAGGAAAATTTATTTTCCTCTAATTTTAGTCTTGACATTCGCATATGCATATTAACTGTAAATGCAGCTATGCAGTGGAGCAATTTCGTGTAGTGTATTATTTGTCATAATCACAGCACAATATCCATAGCAGGTTATCCATCACAAGTCCTATTTTTAGAACCATTACTAAAACTTTGTTAATGCTATTGATTAACAATAGATATTGAGAAACTTCCTTAATTAGCAGTGTACGTACATTAATACTTTGATATAATAGAATTTTAAGTAGCCATGTCTACACATCTTTTAAAAGTGTTAAATGTTTATATAGCTCCATTAACCCCATTTAATTATAAAAATAAAACAATTAAAAATGTTTAGTGTAGTGCAATGTAAATCTCACTTTGTGTTTACATAAAATTACCTACAAATACCACCTAGTATTAAATTAGAATATTTCATGATACTAGAGATTAAAAATAATGTTATATTGAAATTACTTTAAAAATTGAGATTTTTGGAAAGTGAGAAAAAATTTGGACATTATAAAAAACCAAAAGTATTCCTTTAGAATTTCACCTACAGAATTAGAGAATTGAGATCATTAGAGTGAGAAATAATAAACGAAGGAAAAAAGCAGCCAAAGATTTAATTGCTTTTTTTTTAAGATTTATTCTTATTATTTATTTATTGGAAAGGCGGATATACAGAGAGAGGAGAGACAGAGAGGAGGATCTTCCGTCCGATGATTCACTCCCCAAGTGAGCGCAACGGGCAATGCTATGCCGATCCGAAGCCAGGAACCTCTTCCGGGTCTCCCTTGTGGGTGCAGGGTCCCAAAGCTTTGGGCCGTCCTTGACTGCTTTCCCGGGCCACAAGCAGGGAGCTGGAAGGGAAGCAGGGCTGTTGGGATAGAACCGGCGCCCATATGGGATCCCGGGCGTGCAAGGGAAGGACCTTAACCACTGTGCCATCGCGCCGGGCCCTCAATTGCTTTTAAATCTCTTTACACTCAAGAACATGTTTTTATAGTGTTGCTTAAGTTTTTTTTTTTTTCATTTTTAATGCTATTTTCTTATTTTAACTGAAAAGTAGTGATTGTGTGTATTTTGGGGGTAGAGTGTGAAGTGACTCATTGCAGGTATGCATTGCAGGGTCATAAAGCCTAATTAAGATAGCCACTACAACATGTTTTTGCTGTGATGAAAGCATTAAATATGTATCCTTTCAGCAATTTTAAATATAGAACACAATGACTTCCTTATTTATAAACTGCATAAGCTATTGTATTTCATGTGTAATTCCTATGTCAGTTTGTAGATGTGGAAAAGTTTTCTTTCATATGTGCTACCTTCCACGTTCTGTAATCCTAAATTCTAAGACTTGGAATTTCCTTTAGCCCAACTTTTCCATTGAAGTCTTGGATGTGGTCTATCAAATCCACATCTAAATCATATGTGCAGTCTCAACTGGTGGTACACATTCTGTATCAGCATCAGTGAAGATAGGAAATTCACTATTCCCTGTAAGGTTTTTTTTTTTCCCCCCAAAAGTATTTCTCTGTGTTAACCTGCAAGTTGCTCCCTCTCCAACAATTGATACACCTGTTTTTGTTTTTCCTGTTCCCCCTACCCCCATTCCCTTAATTTCCTTTTCACATAGTACTTGTTTTGCTTAGGCATTAGTCACTTAAACCCTTGCCTCCCAGAGGACTTTTTTTCTTCAGTGCGACATCCCTGAGTTCCTTGTATGCATGACTCCTTGTCCCCTTTTGTCCAGATTGGTTTTTACATTGTGATACTCAAAACTAAAGATACTGAATATTATACAAAAGATTCAATGCAAGTGGAATAATCGCATTTGGAACACATCACAAAAGCAATAATTATATTTTGCAATTGGTGACATGTTTTTCCCTAATTATTGAATACTTTAATTACCTGTATTTCTTTTAACTTTTTGTATCCAATGTTCTAATTGCTTGTGCTTCCTATATTTTGGTACAATTACATCTTATTCATTACGGCTCATCTCAAGATAGAAAACTCATGTATTTGAGAAAAGATTTGTTATTATGCATCAATCCTTCATTTGGTGATTTTAATTGAAAACTAAGCATTCAGTTAATTCTAGTTGGCTTCTGAATAAATTCTGTTTCTTCCCTTTTTTCTTTCCTCTTTTCTCTCTGTTCTCTCTTTCTTGTCTTTGTCAGTATTCTGCGGGTTGATACGAGGAACTGTCACAATCGTGCCTGGTATGGACTTGTTGTCCGGGACGTATATATTTGCGGTCCTGTTAGCATGCGTCGTGTTTCAGTCTGGCGCCCAGGAGAAGAACTACACGGTCCGAGAAGAAATGCCAGAAAACGTCCTGATAGGCGACTTGTTGAAAGACCTCAACTTGTCGCTGATTCCAGACAAGTCCTTGACATCGCCAATGCAGTTCAAGCTAGTCTATAAGACAGGAGATGTGCCACTGATTCGGATAGAAGAAGGGACTGGAGAGATCTTCACCACCGGAGCTCGCATCGATCGTGAGAAATTATGTGCTGGTATCATGCTGGATGCCCGTTGCTTTTATGAAGTGGAGGTTGCCGTTTTGCCGGATGAAATATTTAGACTGGTTAAGATACGTTTTCTGATAGAGGACATAAATGATAATGCACCATTATTCCCCGCAACGGTTATCAACATATCAATTCCAGAAAATTCGGCTATAAACTCCAGATATGCTCTCCCAGCGGCAGTTGATCCTGACATCGGAATAAATGGAGTTCAAAATTACCAACTAATCAAGGTATGTATTAAAACACTCTGCTAAAAGCATTCTTTCTATTTCTTTTTAAAGACAAAAAGTAATCAGTATACTTAAAGCTTTGAGTAGGCAATTATGCCAGTTTTTCAGTTTGCACGAGGTGTGGTAGAAAAAATTCATCAATACAATTTTTATAATTATGTGACAGATATGAAATTTCATTGTATACTAATTTCTAGCAATCATATTTCTTTTAATTTTCCACTTGGGGTTAAATAAGGAGCTTGGCCCTGCCAGTCAGCTTACTCAATATCCCACTTTTAATCAGTCTATTCATGACTCCTCATATGCCACATTTAAACTAGCAAATTATGAATGTTGAGATTGACAACACAAACCTATCATTTTTCTTATTAATCATTTTAAGGAGGAAGCTTTATATTGACATTTGAAAATATGCCAAATTTATTAGAGGTGTGAATAGAATATATTCGATAAATGTTTTTCATTGTGTGAGAGACTGACAGAAAATTGCCTACTGCTGACTCACTATGCAAATGCCAGTAATGAGTAGTTCTGGACCAGACTTAATCTGGTAGCCAGGAACTCAGTCTGTAGTTGTTATGTGTGTCAGGAGTACAATAACTTGAACTATCACCATTGCCTCCCTATGGGCTCATTAGCATGATCCTGGAGTCAGGATATAGAGCTGAGTACAGAACCTAGAAATGCTGATTGGAGATGGAAGCTTCAGAACTAAAGTTTTAATTGCTGGGCTGAATGCCCACTCCATACAACATTTTTATCACCAGCATATTTGAACATACACAGATTAATACTATTTTTCATGATGATTTGAAGTCAAAACAAGATCTGTAAGCATATTTTTAGTCATTAAAGTGAGACTGAATTTTATCCAATGTGCTAAATGTCAATGTTAAATATTTTCATTTTGCTCAAATTCTTTGAAAACACAGTGTTCTTGTGTTGTAAAGGCTTAGTAATCCTTTTAGCCTCAAAAATGTAGGTAATCTGAAGAACCTACTCTCATTTTGATTTTGGGGTGTGAAGTGTAGGAGGAGGAGATTAGGTGAAATATTTGATATCCCTCCAATATGTGACAAAGGAGCACATTTATCAAGTGAGCCAGAAATTGTTGATTTCCTGCGTGTTGCATAAGATAGTATAAAATTCAGGTTTGGACATGTGAACTAATAGAATGCAATTGAATGATATTAGGCTATCTATTAAAAAACTATAGATTTCACATAGACATTGTCAGAGGATTTTCAGACACTAATATTTCCTTATGATTATTATCTACCAGACAATGATTGATATGAATAATGTGAAAATACTTATAAATAGGATGTGACTATAGGCCTAGAGAATATGTGGTGTAAGAAAACTGTTTAACTAATAACAATAGGTTGAGAACACATAACTGTTTACAAACACACTCAAGGATTAAAGGCTATTGGTCTGTGATTTCCATTTTTCTATTCCTGTAGCCTAAATTCCAGTGGATTGCAGCTGTGTTTGAATATATGAAATAAACAGAGGAAGATAAGGTTACATGATTTATAAATAAGCATTTGTTTAGGACAGATTTCTACAATGACATCTACTTACCAACAAAATGAAAAAAAATGTGCAGGAGTCAGAAACACATGAGCCACAATTTAGTGCTTTCCTCTTACTAGCTGCTGCTTTAAGGCTGATATTTCTGATGATCCACTTCCTCAGTCATAATATGCAGATGATTATATAAATATTGCAGTGATGGCATTGGCAAGAATCATCACTAACTACGGAGTGGGTAGACTTTGGTAGAATATTCTGGGAGATGTTTTAAAATTTTTGGCTACTTACTTATAAATGTAAAGCCTATGCTTTAAATTGCAAAATATGGATCAGAGTAGATAATATTTCTAAAGGAACACTCTCCAGTAAAAGTTTATGAAATGATGCATGTTCTGCGTCTGTGATTGCCTATATAGTCGGCATTAGCCAAAAATGCAGACATACTTGTAATGTTGCTAGTGCTGCTAAGGTACTGAATTTTTAATGTAATTTTAACAGTAGCATGTGATTAGTAGAATCCATGTTGCACAACCCAGTCCACAGCAGATTTTATTTGGCAAATAAAAATCAATAGGTAATATTAAAATAGAATTTCACCAAGTTGGAACAAAGTACTAGGAACAAGATCTCTCCACTCAACTGTCCAAACATTGCATTGTTTTTCCCCTCAGGACAGCTTCATGATCTTCCAAGAAATATCTGATGATTAACAAATTGAAATAAAACCAATAAGCCCACCAGCATATTTTTAGTTTTGTTAGAATGTGCTTTCGTTTGACATTCTTTGAAAGACTGTCAGCAAATGACAAAAAGATAGTCTCACTTGACATTATTAGGTGAGTCTTAGGAATAGAAATGCTTAGACATTTCTGTTTTAGAATGTGTGATAAGCCTAAAGAAGCTCTATGATATACCCAAAGTACTAGTGCATTTGTATGGACAAATACTCTTCTGGCTGCTTGTTAAAAATAATGGGACTGGAACACAAAGCATAGCCCTAGGCATGCAGAGGGCCGTGACATGGGTGACTTGAACTGAGTGCACTTTGACTTGCAAAAAGGCCCTGTCATAGCAGTGGCGTGTGTTTCTGTTGGAAAGGGAGATTAAAGAAAATGGGAAGAACCCTGTTTTGATCCATCCGCAGACTATAGTAAATTTTATCATTTGAAAGTAAGTAGGCCAACCATAATAATTTCTTTTAAAGGGCCCTCTGTCCTGCACAATAGGATAAGAATCTAATTAATATTAGTTTGCTCCACTTTTGTTGAGCAGACAAGAATAGTGCAATTGCAATTAGTTGATACTAACTAGGGTAATATAAAATGTGTGTGAAAAGTTTAAATAGCAAAGGGAGAGAAGGGGGAAATACAGAGAAAAATTCCTGGGAAAAACAGGATATTTGATAGATGAAGGGATCATGCTGGTGACAATTTCATGTTAATTAACTGAAATTAAAGCAATGGTGAATTTTAAACGTGCCAAAGTGCATAAGATTTAAAACTTGGAAGCTTTGTTTCTAAAGTTTTGATTTATGTATAAATATTTTAATAATCATATCTTTGTCATGTTAGGTATACTTTCACATAAATAAGGAAAATAGTATTATTCCACAGCTTAAACATGGAAAATGAATTTCAGAGTAGTGATTTATTTTGCTTGTGATCACATGACTAATAGATGAGAGATATGGGAGCCAGAATATGGTTTGCGAATATGAGTTGATCTAAAGAAAGTTAGGCTTATATCCTCAACATCAGGGATTACTCCAAGTTCATGACACAAGAGTAAGACAGTGAACAAAGGAAAAAAAACAGAAGAAGGTAAGAAATGTGAAATATGAATCGATTACTAAGTAATTCTGCTTGGTGAAAAGAAAAGCATATTAAAACTTATCAATGTGCCTTTGGTAACATTATTTTTAAGCTTTTTAGTAGCTTTTCGTGTCTGTAAAGAAAAAGGATTCATCTATTTCTATAAGCTTTTTTTTGTCAGTGTCACTTAAAAATTCAGTTTTTTTTTAACTCTCCATTTTTTCTTAAATATTCTCTTTTCTCTATTTCAGACACTGAAATGAAAATTCCTCATGATAGCATTTTCACTTGATTTGAGATGTGTTAAATATTTATATCTATATACATATGTATACAGCTATACACTTATGTATATATGTATGTATATGACTATGTATGTCATATATATGGTCACATATATATATACATATATATAAAGGAACATACTTTGTAACCACATATGTTGTAGAATTTGAATAGGTTGTTGGGTGTGAATAGGGAAGCGCCTGCTATTGTATGGACCTTTTCATATTGTAAGTCTGGTTGACAGGGATTTCAACATTTGGGCAAATAGAAATATCCCTCAAGCATCCAGTCTGACTCAGGACACGTCCATAAACCACAGGGACCTACTACTTCCCTTAATTGGAATTCAGGGGAAATAATTTATGTAATGATGTTACACGTGTCTACATTTTCTACTTCAAATTTTCATGTTTCCTGGCACATATCAGCTGTGGGAATCTTATAATAGTCCATTGACAGCTTGTTTGTGGGTTCCCATAAGGAGAAATGACCCTTGTTAGTACTGAGAGAGCAACAAGATCTGTTGATTCTGATTGGTAATCTAACTCAAAATCCTCAACTGTTTCAACCCAATCCATAAACAGCTTGATCTTTTTTTACTAACTTCAAATGATAGTTTAATCTGAGACAGAATTTTTTCACATAGTCAGGCCTTTGGTCCCTTGTCTCTGTCTTAACTTTTGCATCTTTCTCACTTATTAGGAGCTGTACTTGTATTTATGAAAATAAGGCTAGACTAAGATTTGTTTTGAGATCTCAGGTCAGTAAATCCACATCATGAAAGTATCCACCATTAGATGCAATGATCTTGACTCAAATAGCTGAGAATGGGACATGAAATGATATGCTGTGGGGAAAAAGAGCAAACACATTTTATCTTGAAAGAAGTATTATGCCTTTACCTTATGTAACCGTAGCTCCAAGTGACATATACTTTCATGAGTAAACAAAGCATTAACATTATTACAGGGGTAATATGTTATAATAAGTAATATTTCCAACAGTTTAAAAACTAATTTTGCAGTATTGGCTCCAGTATGTTCAGAAGAGTTTAAATACAAATGTTTCTTATTTTTCAGCTATAAAAAAGACATTTTCCTTAGAAATTCACCTATTCTGCTTTAAGATTACTCAATTATATGTTCTCTGTGTTCTATTATGTACAGATTAACATTTTTATTCTGCATTGAAAAGCAAGAGATGACAATCAAGTGATAATGACTATTGGGGTGCCTAAAAGCTGAGGTTATTTTCAGAGTGCACCTCTAGTGGGGAAAAATGACAACATAACATTCATTCTTTTCACAAATGGATCCTTATTAATGCTGTCAGGTCTTATTAAAATGAGAGAATGCACTAATA